GGAACGACTCTAAAACATGTCCGCGTGTATTGAATTAAAACGTATTGTGTTATCGCAAGAAGTCTTCGTGGTTATTACTGATAGTGTTATTTTAGAAAAAGAAATATAATTATTTTTTTTTTATCTAGATTAAACTGATTTTTTATCTGTATCTGGATCGTCAACACTGCGACGGTTGTGATTGTTTTAACGTGATGTCGTAACGGTGTTGTTTACACGGGATTTTGTCACAATGTGCGCGCCAGGCAAAGACAATCGGCAGTTTGGGGCTCGTGCCAACGCACTATTACCGAGGCGGTCGCTGTAAGTCGAAGGAACACTCAGGGAGTCTGGGAGAGAGAGAGAGAGAGAGAGAGAGAGAGAGAGAGAGAGATAGATGCGATGGGATGTTACATATTATTATTATTATTATTATTACTACTACTACGATACTTGCTATACCGACGTCCCTGCGCTATACGCTCTGCTGGCTACGGTCAGGCGCACATTTGCGAGGCGGCGTTTAAAAATAAACTTGCTGGCGTGTTCGGTAAAGAACGCGGGTCCCGGGGGCCCGAGAAAAACGCCGGCAGAAGGAGCAGCTGCTGTTGCCGTCATCGCCAGTCCCGCCAAGGCCTCTGCGGCCTAATTGATGAACAGCCGCCCGGCATTTCTCGTATATAATAATAAAATCATTTTAAAAAATAATCGCAACTGTACCGTGCCATGCGGTAGAACACCACGTCCACTCCAACTAAACTATATCACTCGGGTAGATAGGCACAACCCGAGAAAATAAAGCTACCAACATATCCGGAAGTGTAGAGACTCTAGCGAAACTCTGGTTTTAAATGAGGCTAAACATTTCGGTACCGTGGCCCTTGGACAGAATTGGGCAAATTTAAATTGAATATCTAATAACAATTAAAACATATCGAACAGCCAAGGGATTTAGCAATAAAAAAAGGAAGGGGCTAGAAAAAAAATTCCCTTTTAATATAATAGAGTTAACGTTTACATAGTAAAACAGTTCTATAATATTTTTATATATTAAATTATAATTAAAAAAATACATTTTTAATGGATACAGATTAAGTACATAAGAGGGGGGCTTCAGCCCCTTTGAACAGCGTATTGATAAAAGTATAAAAATGTATTCAAACAGTTAAAATATTCAATCAGCCGGTTTCACCAACTATTATTAAATACACTCTTAACATAATGTTAGTTAATATTTCATTTAAATTTGACATCTGGTTAAATTAATTAAAATTCACCAAGGCGTAATTCACCATAAACGTATATTATTATTAAATTCTATTTGTTAAGTTAGCAAACTGTTAGTTGGGTTACCAAAGCAGTTACCTTGATTCCAACGTTCTCATTGGTTATCACGAAATGTGATAACTGATAATATTATAATTTTATATTTAAATCTCAATTAGACATTAGTAATTAATAATTCGATCTATGGCATTTTAACATGCCAATTAACTTTTAAACCAGCTGATTTCAACTGATTCAAAACTTAACAATCGTTTTAACAACGTGTTAAGGCTAACAAATCTCGATGAAACCCGATTTTCACTAACTTAATGTTAAATATAATTTACAATAAGTTAAATACTTAACAAATGATGATGAAATCGGCTGGATGTGTTTTAATTGCGACAAAAATTAACTAACTTAGACGGTGAATACATATTATAATGATAAACAAAGTAATAATTTATAGAAGTACAAAAACTATTCGAATATTTTACAAATAAAATAATTCGAAAAAAGCTTTTTTCCACGTAATAAGAGTGCTATTTGTCTTGGACCAATAGGGACTATGCCCAGTGTTGATCGAAACTAGTTAATATTCGGAAAAAATACATATATTTTGGTTCTTATGCATAAAAAAGGGCAAACTTTATTACTGTACAGTGATCATATAACTTGTCAGCTGATTTTCCATTATTTCTCATATTTATATAGGACATAACTCTCGTGTTATATTTACTTATGATAAACAATGTTATACCGGAGTATAAGATACAATTCTGAACCGATAAATCGTGTTAGATCGTGTATTGTAGATCGGAAAAAGTTGTATTGAGCATCTAATTGTGATACAACATTAAATTGTTACGGTATTTGATTTTTTTTCAACTTTTGACCCTTCCCTGGGCCAACCGACGGCTAATCGGCCGGCCGTCCAAGTCTTTTGTCCACCACAGTTGTGTGATCCTTTGCCCCTGACATATTTCTTACTGTTTCTTCTTTTCCTCCTCATACCGTGTGTCTGCTTGTCCGCAGCTGTTGGGATTTGCGTAGGTCCCTCCCTACCTCCCTCCGTCCGTCGTTTCCTCCTCCACAATACCGCCGTCGTCCCGCCGAGATCCGTCCAATCGCGGTCGGCGTCACGTTCACGCCAAAGCGACGACGGCTGGCCGTTAGCCGCCGCTGCCGAGTGGGGAGGACGTCGGTTGGCCGCCCCGGACGCTTTCCTTATATGGCGTCCCGACGGCCGACGGTGAGACGGGCCGCCGTCGTTTGGACCGCCCGACAACCTTATGCAGACAAAAAACACGGCGGACACCACCTTTAACGCGCTATCCAACAAATCGGTGTGCCAAAAACAAAAAAACAAAAAATGTACATAAAAAAAAATAATAATAATAATAACCGTGTATTGCAGCAGTTCTTGGCAGCATCAGTCGGAATTTATTATTTTTTTGTCTTTTTCACGTTTCCTTCTTTCGAATAATAACAACTAAGATTATGACTCTTTTTTTTTTTTTACAACATCCGCCCCTGCGGCTTGCAAGTGCTGGCCCAATACATTAGTCGCTAGGCTAGACGTGGTTTTCTGTAAAAAAAGGTAAAACAATGTCGAAAACATAGTTTTTTTTTTTTGTAGTGCGCACAAAATAAAATATCACCTAAAATACACAACTGACAAAGTATTTAAAAAACAAAATACGTAGGTAATTTAAAAAAACTGAACAATAAAATACATTTTCTTTTTTTTACTATTAACTGTCGGTTTACCTGTCGGACTTAGTTTACTCGGAATTCAAATGTTTTTTTTTTTATCAGATTTTTTTTCTTACTAATATGTGTTTGTTATAAACTTAATTTAATTTTTAAATTTCAAGTCTAAATCTAGAATAGCGAAATCAAGTAAGAATTTAAAATCCCTTCTAGGGATACGGGTTAAGGGTATGTTTTAATGGTTCACTGTAATATTTATCGGTATAATACTTATCTAAAGAATTTCTCACGCATATTTGGAACTACTTATCTATTTTTGAAAATGTCTAGTGTGTCATAGTTTAAGTTGAAAACTGTGTAATTGTGTTTGGGGTGTTTTTTTGGTGATTTTAAAGAAAAATGGGTAATTTTTGACTCATTAATATGTTGTTGGTACGAATTCTGATCAAAAGACTTGCTTCAACCAGCTGGTTAAAAAGTTATCGTGGGCTAAACATAAATATAGAAGAAAAAACACAATCACCATTGTAAGCTAATACATACGCAACTCCACGTCTAAACTATCATCGTGTTTTTTCGGGTGTGTACTTTTGCACTAAGCACATTTTCTAAGAGTTAAACAATTGATTAGCTGTCAAATTTTTATGGATAAATTGCCTATACTTTGCTCCTTAATAAACAGGTAGTGCCCTCGTGAAGTTGAAGTGTGTGCGACTCAAGTCATTTTTTTATATAATATTATTTAATAATATGATGATACGATATGGTGTAATACTACGGCACAGACGAAACGATAACGAGAAAAGATTAATCACGGTTAGTTTGACGTGTAAAATCTATTTTCAGAAATTTCACTTATCTTGGGCGGACTCGGTCGATAACGAAGAAGAGAACTCAATGCTTTGACGTTTGTCCAACGAAAATCCGTTCCAAAAACCGTTCCTGTGTTTGTACAGTAGTCAGTACACAATATTATTATGTTGTACTTAGGCACCAGTACTTCTGCTACCTGCCACTGCTTTTCTGTCCGTGATAAAAAATTCAAATTCCAACTACCGTGTTCCGAAAATATATACAAAATCTTTATTTTATTATAATTACTCGGCTATTACTATGCGAGTGCACGAATAATTAATCTGTCTTCGGCTTAAAACAATTCCGGTACTAGTCGTCGTCTGCCGGATCTCGTCTGGAGATCCGTTTTTCAGAAGAATTCTATTAATTGTCATTCTGAGTACGCACATGCCATATTAATATGCAACATACACATTAAAATCACAGTCTAAACCATAAATAACAACAACCCAGTTTTTTTTTTAAAGCCACATCCAGTTAAGTTTTAGGCAGTGAATAAACCCATATTTTCTGGACAAATATATCAAACATTTGCCTGGTTGAACAATTTTACTCTCGAACAATGGTTGGATGATAATAAAAAAAAAATATATATTATAAGTAAAACATTGAAATATAGTCCTTAAATTGTCAACTGTGCGCTAACTCTTTGTGTCCTAAATAGTTAACACAGTATTTTATGAGAAAAACATTTTACATTTTGATTCTGGTTTCTTTTGTCAGTTAGAAATCAACGAGACTCTAAATGAAAAGAGATGTTGATGAAATCTTTAGAGGTATTGACATAGGGACTTAAGGTGTATAGTTTTTTCCCATAAAAAAGTGGTCCAAGATTATCTGAGTTATCATTTTCCTTCATCCTCTCTAAGTCGTCCAATGGAAATGACACTGATTTTAAATATATTTGGACGGATCATAAGCTTAAGTGGCATCTGATATTGTTACTATTTTTTATTGCTTAGAGATTTGATGGCGGGAGAAAATAAGAGAGTAATAATAAATCTGAAAACACAATAATCATACTGCTCCTTTTATTACCTTTAGATTAGAAGTGGTACTAAAAGACCCGGTTTGTCGGTCAAAACCAGTTTATAAACTATTAAATATCATGTAAGGGTAAACAATTTGAATAGTGTTCGATTTTTATAAAATAATGACATTAATACCAAAATCCTATATTGTTCCAGGAATCATAGTGGAATCTTACTGGAGTCATGTATCGTCCCAAGTGGTAAGTATACAATAACTTATCGATTATAAACTCTCTGACAATACTTTTGTTGTTAAGCCAACTATTAAATTCGACCAATGCTCGGCATACATGACCCTAGACCCAACAACAATATTCAAAAGACGCTTCTTAATCTCAGATAACCAGCTGAAAATCTAAGTTATTTTTTACAGTTTTCTACCGTTTTTGGCAAGAATTCGGACTAGCTAATAATTACAGAAATAATAATAACACTATAGTTATCGTCGATAAAGGCAAGTACTCGCTTTCTTGTAGAATTCGTTGTAATAATTATCTAATTTATATATTTTTTTTCTTCAAACCGGATACGCTTCCAATGACGTGGCACAATGTGTTTACATAGCTGTCGGTCGTCACTCGTCAATCAGATATTATACTTATCAGGCCGTTTTTTTGTCTACAATTATTATTATGAACATAATTATTATTAGGGCCAGTCTGAGAGAGTGGGAGTTTCTAAGGTGGACTAGATTATATAGAATCTGCCTTCTAAGTTGTGTCGCTAAATTTACGTCGTATCACTTTTGACAAAACAATTTTTTTATTAATTTTTATTGTAAATGACACATTTTTGTAGACAATGTCTATTGTAATTAAAATTCGATTTTATATATATTTTCTTCCTTTTTTTTTATTCTTGTTTAAGCATCAACAGCAACTAAGGTTATTAGCTTACAAAAATAACTACAGGTTATTTATGACACAATGAGTATATACAGAAAAGTTTAAATTTAATTATACATATTAATTACTAATTAGTTATAGGGATAAAATAATTATTTTAAAATGTGTTGTCCTTTTGTGGGCTAAGAGGTTTAAAAAGATTGTCTGAAATCCTTAGTTTAGATCTGGTTTCGGCAGTAGACGAGAAGGTGTTTTACTGTAAGCGGCTCGCCTCAAGTTTTACAAGGTACTTAACCTAACTGGTTCCTCATTTCCCATTAAGGTAGCCATGAGATATCCTGAAGACGTGGCCTGTTTTCACTCCCACTTGTTTTAGATGTTTATCTTCGGTGTGATTTCCAGACCCAAGCCTTAAAACTACACATAAAAAAAGCGAAAATGAGAAACTGATATTAACCATTTTGGAGAAAGGGTTTTATGATATTTTTTGGTTTGTCTATAGAATATTCCATACAAATTTGGAACGTATTCAACTATTTAAAAGAAAAAAGTTACAGTGCGCCGTAATTTTAAGTTTAAAAGCATTTAAATTTTTTCGGTGTTTTCTAAATTTTGAAGTGGAATGTGTGAACTAAATTTTTGGCCGAATAAAGTAACTTTTAGAGACGATTCTTAATCTATATATTTGATACATAAACAAATCGGCTCAGCAGTTAAAAATGTATCGTCATACCCATGTGTATACAAATTTAACATCCGTATTCCGTAAATTTACTTAAATACCATTTGTCATAGAACAATTACTTTTGTCAAAAATTGCCTATATTTTACCCCTTAATAATTATTAACAGTACGCAAAGAAGATTTATTTCGATTACCTTCTTGGCATGAAAAAAACAACATTAATTATTAAACATATTTTGTATGGAAAAAGGTTAACTAAAATATTTGTATTTTATAAATACATTCTTAGAAACCTGTGTTTTAGAACGCAGAAACTTTGTCGAGGCACCTACTGAATTATTGAAAATAAAAAAGTTTAATATGGTGTGACTTAAAAAAAAGTATTTTGTATATTATAAGAAAAAGGTAGACCCTTTTTTTTTAACACGAGTCAACAGTTAAAAGGTTATCAGGTTTAATTAAAAAAAAAAATGTACAGGAGGTTAAATGCATAAATAATGGAAAATATTTAAATTTAACATGTTTTGTACTATTAATGTTGGTACTTCTTGAAGTATACTCCAAAATGAAAACAGTTAGTTGTTGGTTCACTTGTAGATCAGTCAACATATCCTTAGATCCTCCCGTGGACATAAAAATATCTCCCGTGGTTGCGGACTCATACGTAATAGGAAATTTAATTTTATATATTGTTCTTCAACTAAAAACTATTATTGCGGTTTTTGTAAAACATTTTTTGGTATAGGTCTCCGAACCGACATTAAGAATCAGAGAATTCATAGAACTTTTTATTTTTATTGTTAAAAAATAAATTGTAGACATTTTTTTAAACAGTTTCTTTGAGAATTTTAAGAATAAAAGTTTCCTCGTTATAGTTATTTTAGAACTAGATAGAAATGATAACTAACCTTTTTGAATATAAGTCATTAAAAAATAAGAATTTAAAAAGGTGCAGAACAAATTGAAAAGCGAAACTATATTAGCAATATCAATTGTCCAAATGCATAATATTTTAAGTTAATTTTATGGATGATTTAAAATATGTAAATGCACTATATTTTGTGTTTTTCGTTTTGTTTTTTTTTTATTAAAATTACTTTTAAACTACTGTTCCAATAGAACTGTTTTTTCAACATAAATTTAAATTCGAACGACCTGTTAATACATAAATACTTATATTGCCAGTTTATTATCTGTAATATCATCATCGACACTTCCAAACGGGTTTGGTCATCACTGCAGTACTACGTTAAACGTTTTTTTCTTCTATTTTGGTCATTAGATGTTGTTTTGGAGAACAACAAACGTTCGTTGTAATAGCCGTTCAGTTGGCCACTACAAACCAAAAACAGTTGCCCGCGTTTTGGTTCAAAAAATTTTGTTTTTTTGTTTTTATTTCTTTCTCTCTCTCTTTTAAGCTGTTATATAGTTTGGCCATAGTGACGCGTTAATGTTTGTTGCACAACGGACTAAAGGTAAGAAAAAAACATTAAGAGGTGGTGTTTTTTTTTAGTTTTAGATTTTAGAAATCACTGCTCGGAGATGTCTTACGAAAGCGGCACTTTTTAGAGGTTTATGTTTTTTCCCGGTACCAAGTGTATTTATTTTACTTGAGGAACAAATCATAATTATATTATACACAACAATATAACCGTTAAGATATCATATCAAAATATTATTATTGTGTTGCCGAATGCTTTAATCAAAAGGTCAAAGTGTAAAAATAAATCTATACACTGCCACATAACATAGTAACACTGTAACACATAAATCGTGCATATTATAATTCATTCGGTCAGAAATGTGCATATGCTGTGATATTTAATTGGCAATGTATCGTTGTGTTCTTTAGTTGCTTAATTAATGTAATCATTGTCGTATACCTAGTACTGACCAATGGGCTCATAATATTTTGATATACTGTGATGTACTTATGAGTTGGGAATCTGTTCGCCGCTGTTTTTTTCGCCATTAGTCCAGGGTTTCGTCTACCATTCAGCAGCAAAAAAAAGTCCAGGTTACCCGTTCCGGAATTGTACTCATAATATTATATTATACATTCTTAAAGTGTTATAACTTTAAATCTATGAAATCGAAACTGATGTCAACTGGTCGAGACATTAAACTGAGCACTTATATTTATTTTAGTAAAATTTTATTTAAAAAAATTGCATTGATGACGTAAAACAAATACTTTTTGAATTATTAAATTAAAAATCGATTGGGTTGTATATGTACGTTTATTGTTGTATACTATTTTATTTAATACAAGTTATAATTATATAATTAATGTTATTGTCAAAGGGCTCGGGTTTATATGTGTTTAAAAAACCAAAATATGTACATAAAACATATATAAACGTAGTAACAAATTTAATGGAACAAACGATTATATACACACACGTGTATATATATATATATCGTGCATGTCACATGGAAGTTGCAAAGTTCAGGAAATCAGGATAGTCACAACAATACAAAAAAAAATATGTCAGTAAAAAAACTAGTTTCTTTTCATTTTTACTGGAATCTTTAGTAACTCCACTAAAAATAAAAGAAATGATAGAGCCATTGATGCTCTTAAATAGTAAATGTAATTAATTAAATTTTGATTATTATTAAAAATTAGTTTTTTCGTTATTTTTCTCGGGTTTTGCAATATGAATACACAAAAATTGTTTTTAATTTTAACACTTTTTTTTAAAATGTAAAGGTTTTTTATTAAATGTTTTAATGTTTAAATTAAAATTTTATAGTGCTACGTAATAATTTATTGGTATTTACCTAAGTCACGAAAATATGTTTTTGTATTATAATGAATATTGAATTTATTTTCGAATTTAAAATTATATAATAATTATCACACCAATTTATAGTACACAATTATTATTATAAGAAATAGTTAAAATAAATAAAATATGTTATTTTTTGTGTATCTTAAATCACGCCCCTACACCAATGGCGGAGTGCGCACTGCATAGATATATTAACAACAGAAATGTTTCTATAATTTTTGCGGAATATTTAAAAATATTTTAATTCAATAATTAAAAAACTCATTATCATTTTAGTGTAGGACAAAGTGAGGTAACTGCAATTAAATAATGCAAAGGCAACTAAACTATTTTACATATAAATAACCATATGCAACGTTATAACTCTTTACCATCAGGCGTATTACAAGTAATTAAAAGATATAATTCTAATTAGTCATTCTTATTTTTAATTAGAATTGAAAGTTCAGTGTATCCTAGGGAATAATTACAAATGTGTTTTATCTTAAACGTGTATTATAGAATATGCAAAAAACGTATTGGCAAATTCAGATTTCTTTTTAATTACAATTAAAGGATTTGTCATCCCAAAAATTTGATGCTTTAGTCAGCAAAAATTTAAAATGGAATGTTTATTTTTTCATAACTCTGGGTGTGAGGTAAAAGGGAATTTATATTTTTAAAGTAAGAAATATGAATTGATAGTATAAAAAAATATACCGGTCATGTTGATAACTAAAATTTATACTTGTACTTAACTTTTTGAATTTCTATTTCAGTGTTGTCGAGTTTTGACTGACGTTATATAAATGTAGTTATACCGTATTTAGCATTTATTTTATTTTATGATAAAAACTAAATTACCCACGTATAACACACAAAATAGTGCACAAATAA